CGATGCATATGAAGATGCTTACTACTAGGGCAACTTGAAAGAAAGTTACTGGGTTATCAGATCTGGAAGGCCTGGTCAATAAACAGAGAGCAATGGAAGGGGAAGGACGATGGGATTCATGGGAATTCTCAGCACACTCAATCTTTATGGATGAACCTATTGGCCACCAAGAGGAGAAGACGTTGAAGGCCTTCAGTTGGACACTCTTCCATCATCCCCAGGACTCATCACTGCCAGCCAACCACGCTTCTCTCCGACACAACCTGCTTAAGATCTCTCGTGTATTCTTTTTCTTTTTTTAAAAAAAAATTATTATTCTTTATTTTTATCCTCTGTGTATGAAAGTTCATTCTTATTTTATTTATGAGAGGGCAGCTCCTATGGTGGAGAGCAGCTTGGCTTAGCTTTTATTGAGTGAGATCTTGAACACAAAGAAGGGGAGTTGTCTGAATTGAAAGGGTTCTATAAATGCACTGATGGACGCTAAATCCATTTGAAACCAAGAAGCCTGAAACACAGAAAATATAAGAGTTTATGGACTGCTGATGAAATAAAACCATGGAAGAAACGAGATGGGTATCTTGCATACTTCTGTGTAATATGTATGTATGTGTGTGTATATATGTGTGTGTGTGTGTGTATGTATATATGTGTGTGTGTGTGTGTGTATACGAGATAGCAACTGGCAGGACTGGAGTGATAGGGCTGCAGATGAGGCGGCAAGAGCTGCTATGGGAGGAGACAACGAACGCCTTGGAAGGAGAGACACAAAAGGAGGGGAGAGTATGAAGCGGGAATATCTGAATAGCTGTTCTTTGCAGGATCACATCAGATCCACCAACAGGCTGCCGGATGAGAATCAATTTAACACATTGCAAAGTAACATAGCTAATGGGCCGATGATGACGTGCTCAAGGAGCCGGGCGCAGAGACAGGCAGCTGTATATAGGCAAGCTCCCTAATCAGCTAGCATTCTCTGATGACGTCAGTAGTTTGGCTGATGAAAGCTCAGTAAGTAACTTTTTACTCACGGGTTTGTTTATATTAAACGGTCATGTTTATTTTTATCCTAGTGTTCGTTTTTCTTATATTTTTATTGATATGCCCAAGATTCGCATTTTTAATGATATTAAGGACAATATATATATATATATATTGTCGAAATAGCTATCTCATTCTCCCTTAATTCTTTGTTAGCAATCCAAATTTTATTATATATATATATATATAATTATGCTAAAAATCGAAGAATGACGATTCCTGGGTACATACATGTTTGATGAATAAAAAGCGATCATCAGGAAGTAAAACAGTGAAGTTTTAATAAATAACCGAGCTTTCGATGGCTACGGACCTGTCATGAGGTCCATGAGCCGAATGCGGGCGCGGCTGCGCTCATAAGCGAGTTTCCCCACTCCCTGGTTTTACACCCTGACGATGATGGCAGGTCTGTAGCCATCGAAAGCTCGGTTATTTATTAAAACTTCACTGTTTTACTTCCTGGTGATCACTTTTTATTCATCGAACATATATATATATATGAAAAACGAACAACAGGATAAAAATAAACAGGACCGTCTTCTCCAGCACCATAGTTCAAAGGCCTCCATTCTTTGGCGCTCAGCCTTTCTTATGGTCCAACTTTCTCAGCCATACATTGCAACTGGGAGAACCATGGCTTTGACTATACGTACTTTTGTTGGCAGGGTGATGTCTCTGAACTGCCTCTATAAAACAACTTACTGTAATTCTGTTGCTGCAGACAGCAGGCTTCCTGACCATTGCACCAGGATTCTGTAACAAAGGATGCGATTCTACCAAAGGAATGACTGATGGTAAAAAATCTTTGCCTAAAAAAGTCCTCTTAAGAAAAACACACCGCCTTGCATCTCTGTATTTATGAATATAGATGACGTAGCTCTGAGGAATGCAAGATTTGAACATTCTCATTGAATGATAATGGTGGGTGAGCTGGCAGCTTTTGAAGAACTGTTTGTTCTGATGTACAAATATTTACTTTTATTTTATCCACTTAGGGAAATAAAAAAAAAAAGAAGGTGGATCTTTAGAAATCAAATTCAGTTTTTCTTTCCTGGCCTAATTTAGCTGGGAAACTTGTTTGGAAAATGAAGGACACTGCCTTAACAAGCTTCTTAAACTCCTTGTGGGATATAAATTAACAACTTGATTGAAGGGATAATATGTTTTTTTTTTATTTCCCTTATTTTTTCTTATTGGAATCTTCTGATGTGATTTTAATCAAATTCAAGGCTTTGAAGTTTTAGATCTAGCCAGATCAAAAGCGTCCACCCAACCACGTTCCAGAATGTGCCTTTCATGTTTGTTTTCAGAAGAATTGCAAAGGGTTGCTTTAATTATTAGAAAGTGGTGCTCCAAAGATAGAAGGGAGAGCAGGATTAAAAATAACAATAATCTAGATGATTAAATGCAATCACAAAAATAATCTAGACAATTAAATACAGTATGAATACGATACTACCTGGTGTGGATAAAGTTTGGCAGATCCGGTATGTTTACAGGAATCAAAGTGAATAGTTTCATTTTTAGCAATGATTTGCAGAGCCCTCTAGAGGCTTTTAGGCAAAAGCTCCATTTTTTTCTCTGTTTTTAACTAGAAACCTTTAGATTCCTTTTTTTGTTTTTATGACTGCAGTGGGACACAGTAGAATTAAGTGCTCAGTTTTCTATGTAGTGTATTAAAGAAATCATGCATAATACTGTAATTACTATTTGCAGTTTTACAGCCGTATCCCTCTGAAATGAAAGAGGGGGAGAGAAAACCAATTTAGTTTTGTCCCCGCTTGTTTGTTCACAAAACAACAGAGTGACTAAGATGCCTTCACAACAGGCACATCTTAAGCAATCCATGATCTCTGTCTCCCATAGAGATGGAGATCACCTCTCAATCAGGTTCCTATTATGTCCCAAAGGTCATATCCTGCTTCCCTGGGGCTGTGGCTGTTGACTATGTCCTGTCTTGGATTTTTGGGGTGAGGGATTGTTGATTCTAGGGATCTTCGTCATTCTAATCCCATCACCTCTAAACTTCCTGGCTCCAGTCTTTCTGACAGGATTATCACATCTGCATTTCTACAGACCTGGTTTCTGCTTAGGGCAGAAAGACTTTTTGGGGGGAGGGTTCTGCCTTTTTAGATCTTTTCCATTATTCCTTTGGGGAAATATAATATTCTGCCTTTTTTAATATTCCCCAAAATATTTCTATATCTGGGGGGGGGGGCTGACTTCCCACACAACTATTTGCTAAGCGCAGATTCCCAGATTTCATGCTGGAAAGATCTGATGTTTCTCAGAAGCTTTTCTTCCCAGACCATCAGATGGTACCCTACAAAATCTTAAACAGCTCCTTCTGATTTTTGTTTTCAGAGTTATTACTCTCCAGCTACAGTATTGCCATAGAATCTACTAAAAGAAAGGAAATATGGGAAGAAGTTCATGCAATGCTGCCATCATGTGGCTGAGCATCACCAATCAAACCATGTGACCGAAGTCATTCAAGGAGTGTGAGAGAGTGATATGAACCCCTCTCAAAATAGGGTTTCTCAACCTTGACAATTTTAAGATGTATATATAGCATTGCTCCTCGAAGCACGAAGCTGAAAACCCCAGCCTGAAGATGACGAATGGGACTTCGTCAAAACGTCGCCAAGACACTTCTAATTTTACGCGGGAGAAAACCCGAATAACCAAAGACCTACATATATATGTGTGTATATTATATAAAATGAAAGGCCTGTGCAATATCACTCACTCTTCCCCTAGAAAAGCTACTCAGGACAGCTTATCAGTCATCGAACAGAAAGCCAAAGACACACATCTGTTGAGGTTTGCATTTTGTAACTTTCTCTCGGCTGGAAAACAATCAAATGCTGTGTTTGCACAACATTGTTTAACTTATTTGGGAGGATATATAAGATAAGGTTGGAAAGGAGCCACGCTGGACTATGGTAACACAAAATCAGGACTTAGGTAGCACTCTTTCTTTTTTTTTTTCTGTGTTTGTGCCTTTGAACCCATTTAAATTTCTGGTAACTGCCTGCATCAGATTTCAGAAGTTGGTTTGGCATTGCCTCTTTCCCAGGGCTGAGAGACAGGGTCTGGACCCAAGGTCACCCAGTGGGCTTTGTAATAAAGCACAACTAAAACACTGCTGAAGCCTGGAGCCTTAACCACCCCACCAAACCAACTTTCCAGCTAACCCATTTCATTAAAAGGCTTAAATTTCCATGGGCTGCAGTTCCCATCCCCGGATGGTCAGAGTGACTACGCCAAAGGCAGCTGGCTGACCTTGGGCCAGTTTTGCTCTCTCGGGCCTGGGAAGGAGGCAATGTCAAACACTTCTGAAATCTTGTCCAGGCAGTTTAAAGTCTAATTTAATGAAGAGAAGGACGAGGGGGGACATGATAGCAGTGTTCCAATATCTCAGGGGCTGCCACAAAGAAGAGGGAGTCAAGCTATTCTCCAAAGCGCCTGAAGGCAGGACAAGAAGCAACGGATGGAAACTGACCAAGGAGAGAAGCAACCTAGAACTAAGGAGAAACTTCCTGACAGTCAGAACAATTAATCAGTGGAACAATCTGCCTCCAGAAGCGGTGAATGCTCCAACTCTGGAAGTTTTTAAGACGAGACTGGACAGCCATTTGTCTGAAATAATCTAGCCAGGGTTTCCAGCCTGAGCAGGAGTTTGGACTACCGTATTAGAAGCCCTCCAATAATGTCCCTTTCAAATCGTCTATTATTCTGCTTTCTCAACCGTGGCCCCTTTAAGAAGGGCGTACTTCAACTCCCAGAATGCTCCAGACAGCACTCTGCCTGTTGAATCCTGGGAGCTGAAGTCCACCCCTCTTAAAGGTGCAGCAGCCGCTCCGAATCCCCCTCTTCCCCCCCCCGGCTTGCATCCCCCCCCTACCCCCCCCGGGCATGCCTTGATGCGCAATGCTGGCGTCCTTCGCGGCGCTTCTCCATCTCCATCTGCGCGCCTGGCTTGCACGGGTTAACCGGGTGCCAGCCCTCGCGGAAGCACCTCTTCCCCGCCCTCCTTCTCTCGCAGCTTCCCCGCCCTCCGGCCCTGCTCGCCGGCTGCTTCTTTTAGCCTTCCTCCGCAGCGCTTTGCAAGCTCGCCGGGCTATGGCGTTGACGCGCGCCCAGCGCTGCCTGGTGCAGGTGCTGCGCTGCTTCTCGCGCGCCTTCCTGGCGCTGCTCAGCCTGTCGCTGCGCGTCTCCGCCTTGCTGCGCTGGAAAGCCAAGGGCGCCCGCGGATCGCGCCCTGCGCGCACCGTCCCGCCGCCCGACCAGCCGCTCCTGCTCCTTTCTGCCGGGGAGCTGGCGCGGCGCATTCGCCGCAGGGAGGTAAGGAAGGGGAAGGAGAGTTGAAGTCCACGTCCCCCCCCCCCCGAGGCTGCGGGGCGCCCCGTAAAAAGTGGGGGGGGGCGGGCGGTCGTTCATTTATCAGTGCTAAAAAGAGTTTTGCAAACGGGAAAAGTCCCATCGAGAGAAACAGAAGGGGAGGAAAAAAAAAGAAGAAAGTTCAAGGAAAGAAAGATGGTGCGCGTTTTCCTTTAGGTTTGCTAAGAGTTTTGCAAGCAGGAAAAGGGAAAAGGTGTGAGAAAGAAGAAGAAGAAAGGGGAGGGAGAGAAAGAAGATGCTTGCTTTTATTTACCCCCTTCTATCCCTTAGAAAAGTCTTTCAAGAGCCCCACCACTCCTGTTTGATCCCTGGGGCGTGGGGGCGGGGTGTAGGTTGGGCTGGGGGGGAGAATAGCCCTCCCAGCTGATCCTCCATGAATTTGAACCTTGGGGGTCACCTTCCCTCCTGCTTCCTTATGCCCCATCTCTGTGGGAAAAAAGGAAAAGAGGGTGGTGCTTGTTTATTTATAGGCTGCCTTTATAGTTTTTATCCGAGCAGTGTATTGCATTCTGGAGGGCACTGTACCATGCTTATTGCAGATGGCCCTCTGGAGTTGGACTACACGTCCCATCACTAGGCTAGCACGTTTAGTGGCGATAAGAGAGGAGATCCAGCTGTGTTATGAGCAATGGCTTTTGTCCGGCCGGGATAGGCCACCAAGCAGTGATCCACTTGTGATCAGCTACTTCCAAATGCCCCCCCCCCCATGTATTCAGGTGCCTCCAAAAATGGTTAAAGATGGTGATGAGGAAGAGAATTAAACATTGATCCATCTCTGCCTCCCTCTCTGCATGTGGAATCAATGGATGGGGGTCTACATGGAGCCCAAATCCATAACGATAAAACATAACTAGGACGTTTATCTTTCGTTCTTTTAAAAACAGAAAACCTCCCTCGAAATAAAAATCCCTAATCTGGGATTAAGAAGAAAACACCCCCCCCCGCCCCGTTTCTTTAAATTAGAGATTTTCCAATCCTGAAGAGATGAGAGAGAGATTGGGCAGGTCTCAAAAACCTCTTGAGCAGTGTTTCTCAACCTTGACCATTTTAAGGCACGTGGACTTCAACTCCCAGAATTCCACAGCCAGCAATTGCTGGCTGTGGAATTCTGGGAGTTGAGGTCCACGTGCCTTAAAATGGTCAAGGTTGAGAAACACTGCTCTTGAGGAAATCCCGCCATAAAATCCACTTGTTTAGATGGAGGCGTATTTGCCTTGTTTCTTTTCTCTCAAGTTTGTATGTTTGTTTGTTTATGAAACATATATGTTGGCCACCTGCCCAATAGGGCTCCAAGACTCTTTTTCTAAAGTTTGAATTCATTTTTGAAGGATGGTGTTTGGGGGGGGGGGAGGTGTCCTATTTTTCATATATTGATCCTCCTGTCTATAATAGCAATCTCTCCTCTGAAACATCGTTTCCTGTTTTGATCATGCTGATTGAAAATAGGCATGTAATAACTGAAGAGTCGTTGGTGCTCTCTGAGCTTGGTTGTTTTGTTGCAGACATTTCATTACCAAACTAGATAACATCATCAGGGCTAGGGAGTGTGGGGGTTTGCTCTCTGTTTATATTCAGTGCTTTGCACTGAACGCCTTGGTGTGGGATGTGGTTTTTGTCCTGGATAGTCCCTTGATTAGGGCATTGTTTTCTGCTTAAGTAGCTTGTTTGTCTGAACAAGCTACTTAACAATTTACTGAATATAAACAGGGAGTAAAGCCCACACTCACCAGTACTGATGTTGTTACCTAGTTAGGGTGATGAAATGTCTGCCAGAAAACAACCAAGCTCAGAGAGCACCCAGGATTCCTCATTTCAACCCTGAGTTACAAATATTCTCCTTTATCTGTGTCATTGTAATATTGAACAAGGCGAACAGTGCAAAATACTGAATATAAATGGAGATCAAACCCCCACACTCACTAGCACTGATGACGTTACCTACTTTGGTAATGAAACGTCTGCAAGAAAACATACTAAAATACAAAAAAATAAACAGGAAGGAAAAAAACCAAGTTAAGAAATACATTTCTGACCTTCTTTTCAACAGACCGTTCCTACTCTCCCTGCTCCCTCTTACGTATTTTAGAAGTCTCTTTGCCCTTTGTTTTATTTTGCCCTCATCTTTCTTAGTCTTTAAATACATAAAACACCAATTCTTTATTTTCCTTCTTTCAGCAAAAAGTCCATATAAGACATCTGGCATTTCAAAAAAGTGGTTTGCTCTCAGATACACAGGTCAGTTTCCGCATTTCTGCCAGCTCACCTGAAATTTTCCCTAGATTAGATCAGACTATGACAACTTTACAACTGTTGGACTAACTTGCTGAATCAGGTTGTAAAGTTGCCATAGTTGCCTGCCCCTGTTCCAGATAGCCTGGGGTATTCTAAGGGACACCTACACATCTGGACAATGACCTAAAGCAGGGGTGTCAAACTGCCGGCCCGCGGGCCGGACGTGTCATCGCAAAACCGCGCCCACCCCATTGCCGGCAGTGGCAAAAAAGTTCCGATACGTAGCGCAACGTCACGTGACATCGCAAGTTTGACATTAAAGGAGTCAGTTCTTTGCCTTGAATCCCAAACCTCTCCCTCTGAAACTATAGTGCTCCTCCAGCCTCAGGCTGAAAAAATTTGATTTTGTGCAACTGCTAGAAGAGAAAGGGAGCAATGGAGTTGCAAACACAAATAACACTGTCCTAGATTATATCTGCTTTTTTTCATTTCTGCACGGGGAAAGCAGGGAATCGCAGATGCCTTTATACAAAGGGCTCCTAAGCATCCTGTGTCCTAAAAATAAGATAGCACTATTCTAATCCTGCTGAGGTTTGGTTTCTGAAGATATTGAATCTTGGGATCAAGGAATTTAAACTAATCTCTTTTTGTAGTCTGTAAAGAAGGTAACGAGGCATTCATGTCAGTGGCATCTTAACATTCAGAAGGGATTTTAGCCTACAGGAGCTGTGCAAGTTTATAAGGAAGATTATGGTTTGCAAGAAGTTCTCCTGCTGGCAAAACTCATTACTATAGAGACAGAATTTAATAAATACTAAACAGGCGATCGAGATGTGGGAATTAAATCTTCTGTTCCTCCCCGTCTCCACACAGACACTTTAAAATAAATATTCTGTCCCTTATAGGTTTTATTTTACCATATGCAATGGTAATCCTTGACTTACAAAAACAACGGAGCCCAAAATTTCTGTTGTTAAGGGAGACATAAGTTTTGACTCATTTTATGACCTGTCTTGCCACAGTTGTTAAGTGAATCGCGGCTTGGTTGGTAAGTGAGCAACAGCGTTGTTAAGGGAATCTGACTTCCCCGTTGATTTGACTTGCCAGAAGGTCGCAAAGGGGAGGGAATCACATGACCTTGGGACATGGCAACAGTCATAAATACGAACCGGTTGCCAAGCATCTGAGTTTTGATCACGTGGCCCTAGGGATGCTTGCAAAGGTCGTAAATGTGTAAAACCGTCGTAAGTCACTTTTTTTTCTGTGCCATTGTAACTTGGAATGGTCACTAAATGAACTGTTGTAAATCGAGGACAGAGGTGTTGACACCTGTCAGGTTTAGCTTACCTTATTCCGCCATAAATCAAGAGCAAAGGTTTTTGGGCTAGCTAATTTACATGCATAGGTTTGTAAATACCACCCTGAGGTTTTCTGAAATTCCCAAGAGTTTTCTCGGAGGCCCTTCCTGCCACCTCCCAATACTGTGTATCCAGTTTCATGTTTCTTCACCGAACACATTATTATTTCTTTGTTTATGGAACCCTGGAAAACTATAAACAACAATTTGCTAAGACTGGCTCGACCCCACCCCACCCCACCCCACCCCATTCCATCCTACTCTACTCTACTCTACTCTACTCTACTCTACTCTACTCTACTCTACTCTACTCTACTCCACTCCACTCCACTCCACTCCACTCCACTCCACTCCACTCCACTCTATACTCTACCCTACTCTACCTCTATTCCATTCCATTCCATTCCATTCCATTCTATTCTATTCGAATAAACAATCATGGATAACCAGGCCTTGAGCCATGAAGAACTTTGAAAGGGGCAACTGGACCTTGAATTCTCCCAAGAAGCCAATTAGTAGCCAGCTGAGCTGTCAAAGTAGCAGGGTCATATGAACAAACATCAATCTTCCCATAGCTGTGGGAACAGCCTCAAGCTGACCAGCTGAAGCTTCCTTGTAGAACAAATTGCATCAGTCCAAACTGAAGGTGGACTAGGCTCCTGTTGACCATCAATTGCCAGAGCATTATCATACAGTATATCTGGCAACCCCTTTTAGGCGTCCTTCAATCAGGTCTACATCCTTCCTATCTTTGTATTCCATCTTCTTCCAGGGTGCTGAGATGCTAGATGTAGATTGGGAGAAGGTGTCTTCTTTAGAGATTAAAAACAAGTTTCCTGGTGCCAGTGTTAGATGCTTGCTGTAAAACCCAGCCAGGAAATAATTTATGTACGGTAATTAAATTTCTTTTTTCTCATTCCTCCCAGTTGAAGTCTGTCGATCTTCTTGAAGCATACATTGAGAGGATCAAACAGGTGAATCCACTCATCAATGCTATTGTTAAGGACAGGTAAGCTGGAAAAACATTGACTTTCTGCCAAACAGGTTCTGGGCTATTATCTGGGGAGGAACGGAGCAGACAGGTATGGAGAAAGCTCCCCCCTGTTTCAAATTCCTGGTGTTTCTTTCTGTATCGGGGTTGGGCCTTGAGAATTAGTCTTCCAAACATCCCATTCTACTGACTTGCTACACAGGCCTAGCAAAAGTAATTTTTTTGTAATCTTTTCTCCTTCCAAGCCCTTTCTCACCGTTGCCCTGACCTTATGCACCCTGAATTCAAGATAAGAGGAGAGGGAAAGGAGAAGACTCCACGTCCAGTTGAGCAGCTGATTGGGTGTTTCCAAGATAGGAACATCCTATTCAGCAATTTTGATCGGAAGCATCTCACAGTCAAACAGCTCTCCTTTTGAATAAGGCTATATTTACTTCCCACCGTTTGCTCACTGCCTTGACCTGTTTTGTTTGTAGATAGAGTAGGACAATGGTGGCGAACCTATGGCACGGGTGCCAGAGGCGGCACTCAGAGCCCTCTCTGTGGGCACGCGCGCCGTCGCTCCAGTCCTAGGCCTTCAGCTGGGTTTTATAAAACCTTTTCGCTTTAGATTTCCACCGTCGTGTCAAAAAAAAAAAAAGGTTCAATCCATCAGTCAATTTCAACTTCTCGCAGGAAAAAAAAAGATCTTGCAAAGTTGGAATTGATTGATTGAACTTTTTAGTCCCACCCAGTCTGCCGTTACCACCGGAGCCACGCCCACCCAATGGGCCACAGCCACCCAATGGGCCACAGCCACCCAATGGGTCACACCCATCCGGCACCCGACGATGCATAAGTGGGCTTTGGGTTGCAGTTTGGGCACTCGGTGTCTAAAAGGTTCACCATCACTGGAGTAGGATTTCCATATCTGGGTTGCAAAATTACACAATTGATCAGGGGGGAAGGGAGGGGTATAACTGTTAGCTGCCATCTCGTGGTCATTCAGATTTTTTTTCCAACCCAAATTTGGTGGGAAAACAGCTGATTTAAAAAGCTGATTTAACGGGCGAGAAAGCCTAAAAAAAAGGAACAAAGGATCGGTTTGATGCTCGTTGCTTCAAATTGCAACGTCCTCTTTTGAACTCTGTTAAAGTGGGAAGTGCTTAAAAGGAGCTAGGCGCCTGCTGTCTTCCATATAACAAAGCGAAAGGTGAAGCTTTGTGAAACAAGGCAGTGTTCGTGAGGTCAGTGTTGGTGATCTTTGAGCTTGGTTGTTTTCTTGCAGAAGTTTCATTACTAAACTGGGTAACGTTATCAGTGCTGGAAGGAAGCGGGCTTTGTCCTCATTATGAAAGAAATCAACCAAGCTCAGAGAGCACCAAAGACCTCACAGTTCAACCCCGAGCTTCAAAGATTCTCTTCCATCAGGACCCTATCCATTTTCCCCCCTGTTTTTCTTTTCTTTTCCTCATGCATTTTCTGCCACTTCCTTCTTTAGTTCCTCAGATGCAAAACAGAAGCAACGCTTTGGCTCAACCAACTCCAGAGATATCCATATTTCCAGGCTGCTTATAAAATCAAAGGCTAGCTCTTTGGTTGAAAAACTACAGCCCGTTCCTCAGAATACAGAATAACAAAGCTGGAAGGGACCTTGGAGGTCTTCTAGTCCAACCCTTTGCTTAGGCAGGAAGCCCTGTACCCTTTCAGAAAAAAGGTTGTCCAATCTTTTCTTAAAACGTCCAGTTTTGGAGCATTCGCAACTTCTGGAGGAAAGCTGTTCCACTGATTAATTGTTCTAACTATCAGGAAGTTTCTCCTTAGTTCTAGGTTGCTTCTCTCCTTGATTAGTTTCCATCTGTTGCTTCTTGTCCTGCCTTCAGGCACTTTGGAGAGTAGCTTGACCCCCTCTTCTTTGTGGCAGCCCCTGAGATACTGGAACACGGCTATCATGTCACCCCTGGTCCTTCTCTTTAACTAGACATACCCAATTCCAGCAACCGTTCCTTGTATGTTTTAGTCTCCTGTCCCCTAAAACATCAGCTAGAGATCTCCCTTTTTTTTTTTAACCTCCCCACTCTTTCCTTACCCATCTGCTCAGGTTTGAGGCTGCCTTGCAGGAGGCACAGTTGGTTGATCAGCTGCTCTCTGAGGGACATGAAGATGAAGAATCACTCCGGAAAAATTTCCCCTTGCTGGGCATTCCTGTCAGTGTCAAAGAAGCCTTTGCATTATATGGTAAGTAGCTGGATCTGGGTTTTTTCCTTTCCATTGCTTTTTGACTTCCGTCTTCAGCCTAAGGTTTGGTACAAGTGGTGGCGAACCTATGGCACGCGTGCCAGAGGTGGCACACGGAGCCCTCTCTATGGGCACGTGCCATGGCCCCAGCACACATGGTCTCTAAAAGTTCACCATCACTGTCCTAGGACCAGCCAGCCTGGAGCCGCCATTGGGGAGCCCACCATCCCACCCGCCAGATACCCCCTGGATCTCCCCCAACCCTGCCCGGTCCCACAGGTGTCCCTCCCCATAAGCAACATCAAGGTGGCCACGCTCACCCCAGCCATGTCCACCCAATCTGTCATGACTACTGCAGCCACACCCATCCAGTGGCCATGCCCACCCAGTCTGCCAAGCCCACTGTAGCTGCACCCGCTGATTGGGCCACACCCACCCGGCCCCCGGCAATACATAAGTGGGTTTTGGGTTGCAGTTTGGACACTCGGTCTCTAAAAGGTTTACCATCACTGGTGTGGTAGAATGTAATCCAGAGTTGCAGGAGGGAGGGGGGAAGGGGGGGTCTTTTCCAGGGAGCAAAGAGACAACAGAGTTTGGAATTTTTTTTATTATTAAAAATTTTTAAGATTTTACAATAAAAACCCCTTCCCCAATCCCTCCCACCCCACCCCAAAACCCTCCCCCATTCTTCCCAGAGCTGAATACAGGCTTAACTAGAACTTAAAAGAAAAAAAGTTTTAAGCCCAAATAAACCTTAAGCAAATATAATTACACTCAATAAACAAATTGTAAAATACTTTAACTCCATTATATATAAAAAACAAAAAGAGGAAAAAAAAAGATAAAAAAATAAAAAAATAAAGAATAATAATAATTACACTTCTAGATAATATCTTAAACTTTAAATATAAATTATTCGAAAGCTAGATAATATTTTCTTATATCATACTTATATTGTATAAAATTTATCCATCTTTTCCACACCAAGAGATACTTCTCTTGCGATTGATCTTTCAAGAAAGCCAAAATTTTTGCCATTTACGCTAAGTAAGAAACTTTAAAAAACCATTCTTGCAAAGATTCCTTCTTCCAATATTTCCCTATTAACAACCTAGCCGCAATAATTAAATTTAACATTAAAATAACCTCTTTGTCATCACAATCCAGAACAATACCCAACAAAAACAATTGTGGAGTAAATTTTATCCTTCTTTTAAAAATTCTTTGAATATTCCACCATATCTTAATCCAAAAAGCTTTTATACTTTTACATGACCACCAGATATGATAATAAGTAGCATCCAAGCAACGACATCTCCAACATTTAGGCTGCAGGTTTGAATAAATACGAGACATTTTTTGTGGATCAAGGTGCCATCTATAAAACATTTTATAAAAATTTTCCCGTAAATTTTGGGCTTGCGTGAATTTAACATTCCTCACCCAAATAATCTCCCATGTATCTAATAAGATCAGTTCATCAAAATTTTGTGCTCACTTAACCATACAATCTTTAACTAACTCTGCTTCTGAATCCAATTCCACCAAGACACCATAAATTCTTTTAATATGAGTTCGACTTTGATCTCTAATTTGTTTTAACAAATTCTCATCTTCTCTAAGCAAGCCTACATTATAATCTATCTTCCACCTTTCCAATAGTTGTCTATACTGAAACCATGAATAAATAATATTTTCTTGTGCTAATTCATCCGTAGATTTTAGAGTTTGGAATTTTTGATATGCAGAAAAAGGGTGAGGGCGGGCCCTCCCGAGCAGTTCAGTTTTGCGGTTAAGTGCTCTAGTCTGCAAGATTTTTCTCTATACTACAGGCAAGCAACAATTAAAAAAAAAAAACCTAACTCAGAAGTGTATTAAAAAGAAAACAACATATATACCTATTATCCCCCCCTTCCGTAGTTGAGTACTGATTAATACATTGCTACACTTTTTTTCTTTTTAATGCACCTTTTTGAATGTCTTGTTTCTTTTGTGTTTTTGTTTAAATTTTATGGAGTTTCGTATTTTAACTTTACTTTAAATAAAATGGGGGAAAAATAGATGAAACAAACAAACAAAAAGAAACAACTCAGAAGTTGTGTCATTCTTGGTTCCTTGAGCCCACAGGGTGTGGGGAGCCATGGGGAGGTGGTCCAAACATAAAGATGGTGGCTTCCTATGTCTTTGGGTTCATGAGACACAAAGAAAAGATGCAAGGCTTCTTGTGTAGAGCCTTATTCAGCATCTGAATTCTTTGGATTGTCTTTTGCAGTTGTCCGTGTCCATCCTCTCTTTCTTCACTGGTGCTTTTTCTTTGAACATTAACATGTCCTTCTAACATTAGCCTTCTATTCTATTCTATTCTATTCTATTCTATTCTATTCTATTCTATTCTATTCTATTCTATTCTATTCATCTATTCTACTCTACTCTACTCTACTCTACATTCTATTCTATTCTATTCTATTCTATTCTATTCTATTCTATTCTATTCTATTCTATTCTATTCTATTCTATTCTTCTATTTATTTCCAAAAAGCCTAAGAGATGATCAGCACAATTTAAAGACTTGCCTGCCTGTCTTGCTAACATTTGGGATGCTCACTTCTGCTAATGCTGAGAACAACATAGACTGAAAATGAAAAGAACCCCAAGGGATTAGGAACAAGGACGAACAAAAATTCAGCTGCAATAGCATTGACCAACCGGCACCAAAATATTTTTTTTTATTATTCGATAACTTTCTTGAAAATAAATAAATAAATAAATTTCTGGTTGGCTGGCTTGACTTAGCAGCAGAAGAGATGAAAGACGGTTTCCCAGAGCAATTCCTAGAGGAAATCAGAAATGATTTCCTAATAGGATAATGCCCGTAAAAGAGACAGAAAGATTTCGCTTCATAACGAATGGCTAAACATTTTGCAATTAAGAGCAAACCCTATTGCTCTTTGAAGAACCCTCTGTTTTTAGTTTTCCCCCCCCACACACACTTTTCCTTATCTGTGGGTTCTTAGATAAGGCGTAAAACTCTTTCAAGTCTTTTCTTTCTTTGCCCACCTCGTAGGGATGCCCAATTCCTCTGGATTGGTCAACCGCCGCAACGTGATCTCCACTACGGATGCGATTGTGGTGTCCCGGTTGAAGCAAGCAGGCGCGATTCCCCTGGGGGTGACCAACTGCAGCGAGCTGTGTATGTGGTTTGAGTCGAGCAACGTCGTCTACGGCCGATCTAACAACCCCTACAACCTTGACTGCATTGTAGGAGGCAGCTCAGGTTAGTGGATCGTGGATAAGTCCATTCTGGATATACTGGAACTGGAATTCTTAACCACCAAGTTAAAGAGAAAAGTCTGAGGAAGGGATGGAAGGAAGTTGGATGGGAGGAAGGGATGAGAGGAGAGAGGGTGAGGGGAGAGAGGGAGTAGGAAAGTAAGGAAGGAAGGTTGAGAGGGCGGACGCATCGGGTGTTTCCCCTGAACTGTATCCGAAGAGGGATAAGAGGGGAGGAGGAGGGAAGGAAGGAAGGAAGTTGGATGAGAGGAGAGAGGATGAGAGGAGAGAGGGAGTAGGGAAGTAGGGAAGGAAGGTTGAGAGGGCGGACGCAGTTGGGGGGGGGGAGATAGACGAGCGACACCCAAGGTCTTATTTTAAAGGTATTTTTCTTTTTTATTCTTTTTATATAATGTATTGAAAGTATTAAACGTACTGAAAAATGGAAATAATTTTTTTAAAAAAAAAAAAGAGAGAGAGAGAGAAAAGTCTGAGCAGAAATAATGACTGTGTTTGAAGTTGCCAGAAAGCCCAGGGCTACTTCTTGAGCTGATTTGGAGAGAGTCCTGGTTCACACAGCATGCTAAACTATAATCAGATTCGTTTGGTTTTGGCGGTGTGGGTTGTGCAAACTTGCCACCGGGGTTTATTTGGTAAGCTGCATTGCGGAAACAAGTAACGGCTGAATGTAATGCAGGAACCCACTCAGTAAAGGGGATTATGCTAGTGAGCTGGCACCCCTCTAAATCAGTGTTCCTTTAACTTTGCGGCTTTTTAAGAAGTTGGCTTGCAGCTTCTAGGATTCCCCAGCGAGCCATGGATTCTGCGAATTGAAGTCCGTGCATCTTAAAAGTTGCCAAGTTTGAGAAACATTGACCTAAATGATTTGTTTAAGGAATGAACAATAAGTACATTTATTAGAATCCAGAAACCCATTATGGACTTTCTGCTGATGAGTTTGATGACGATAAAGAGTAAACAGTGGAAAAGTAGAAAATTTTGTGGTAGCTTTAGAGAGAGAACAACACACAAATATACTTGTCACTGCTATTAAGAAGATCTTTATAATCTTCCCTTCCATCTTCTCCCCTTCCCTTCCCTCCTTTTTTCACGTATTATTGACTTTACTGCCACTTTTAAATATATATACATATATTGTGTTTATTCTTTTAAAACTTTATTTAATAAAAATTATATATGTGCGTGTGGTGTGTGTGTGTGTGTGTGTGTGTGTGTATAAAACAGAAACACTGACCTAAATAACTTTATCAGCCAGGTGCACGTAAAACCTGCATAACTCAGCTGTGGGCCTGGATGTGCATATTTCTGCAGATGAATCAAAAAAATTAACATAAGCTTTGAAGTTGTTGTCACTGCCAGAGCAGTATAACTGCTTTTTCCAGAACAGAGTTTCCAGGCTTGCACGATAGTCTGTTTGGTCTTTATCACAGTGCCAATCTGCCCTTTGTTTCCACACAGGAGGTGAAGGTTGTGTCGTAGCAGCTGCTGGCTCTGTGATTGGCATCGGCTCAGACATCGGGGGCAGCATCCGTATGCCCGCCTTCTTCAATGGGATCTTTGGACACAAGCCCAGCACAGGTGTGGCCTGGTTATTCCTCCCTAGAAACAGTCCTAACCACAAGTTCCTTCTTAGCAGTAGCACTTAGATGTATAGACCGCTTCATAGTGCTTTACAGCATTCTCTGAGCAGTTTACAAATGTTAGCATCCTGCTCCCCCAACAATCTGGCTCCTCATTTTAACCACCTCGGAAGGATGAAAGGCTGAGTCAGCCTCGAGCTGGTCAGGATCAAACTCCAAGCTGTGGGCAGAGTTAGCAATAGCAATTGCAATAGCACTTAGACTTATATATCACTCCACAGTGCTTTATAGCCCTCTCTAAGCAGCTTACAGAGTCAGCGTGTTGCCCCCAACAATCTGGGTCCTCATTCTATCAACTTCGTACGGATGGAAGGCTGAGTCAAACTTGAGCCCCGTCGGGATCGAACTGCTAGTTGTGGGCAGAGTTTGCTTGCAATACGGCATTCTAACCACTGTGCCCCTATGGCTGTTATATAGCAATAGCACTTAGACTTACATACTGCTTCACAGTGCTTTACATCCCTCTCTAAGCGGTTTATAGAGTCAGCCTCTTGCCCCCAACAATCTGAGTTCTCATTTTACTCACCTCAGAGGGATGGAAGGCTGAGTCAACCTTGAGCTGGTCCAGATTGAACTCCTGGCTGTGGGTATTGTTAGCCTCTAATACTGCATTCGAATCACTGCACCACCATGTCTCTTGTTATTCAGTCATGTCCAAATCTTTGAGACTCCATGGAGCATAGCACACCTGTCCTCCATTGTCTCCCCAAATTCATGTTCATTGCGTATGACCCTATCTAACCACAAGTTTTTATCATTTTTTAAAATGTGATGATAACACACCCGTGCTCATGAAAAAAGCATCAGGGATTGTATAATGAAGAAACGATGCATACATTACAGGGATTAAAATAAATTAAAAAAGGGAGGAAAAAAGCAACTAAGCAAAAAACAAAAATGAATGCCAGAGTAGAATTAAGTGGCTTGTCGGGCAGGGCTGAACTCTACTTCTCTGGGTTTATGCAGGCGTAGTGCCCAATGACGGCCAGTTTCCTGATGCGGTTGGTCATCGTACAAACTTCCTCTGCACTGGACCTATGTGTCGTTATGCCGAAGACTTAGAACTCATGTTGAGAGTCATGGCTGGACCAAGCATTTCCAAGTAAGTGGCTTTTGTTGATTTGTAGCCCACTTAACAACCATTCATTTGGCAACCATTTGAAGTTACGACAAGTGACCTACAACCATCACAGCATCCCCACGGTCACGTGATCAAAATCCAGGGGTTTGGTTACAGGCATGTAGTTATGATGGTTGCAGTGTCCCTGGGACAGATGATGTTCCCTGCCGGTTTCCCACGAGCAATGTCAGTGGGGAAGCCAGATGGAAGTCACAAGTCATCCCCACCTCTACTGCCTCTTTGGCCTAGTCATTTATCTGTTTAGGTTATTAAGTATTGATTTATTTTTAAAGTTCATTTTGCCCCTACAATTTTCTGTTTATGATATCTACTTAGATGATCATGGCACTGTCTGTGCATATGGTCAGCCTAAAATGTAATGCTAATTGTGGTCACCTCAGACTGTATTACGTTCTTCTCAAAGGTTGACCCAACAGGTCTCAGGGCATCTAGTAGGTTGTATTCAAAGAGCTGGACTAAACCAAAACCAGTGTACACGTGTCAGTTGGATGATTTTCTAAGGCAGGAGTCTTCAAACTTGGCCCTTTTATGACTTGTGGACTTCAACTCCCAGAATTCCTCAGTCAGGCACGCTGGCTGAGGAATTCTGGGAGTTGAAGCCCACAAGTCATAAAAGGGCCAAGTTTGAAGACCCCTGTTCTAAGGTACAATAGGTCCCATTGTTCTTCATAGCTGCCTTTTCCATCTTATTCCTTCCTTTTCAGACTGAAGCTGGATGACCCGGTATCTTTGCAAAATTTAAAGTTCTATTCCATGGAACACGATGGAGGGTCCATTTTCCTCTTGCCGGTCGATAAAGAAATTCTTCAAGCTCATCGGAAAGTAAGGAATTGTTGTTTTTGGTTGCTTCGAAGCTTGAGTGCTGTTGCAGAAATCAGAAAGCAGATTCAGTAAATGGCAGTGTTGTTAGCTGGGATGAATTTCATTGGTTAGTTCTCTCCTGTAGCTGGATAGATCTGGACCCTGTCTTGTTGAGAATCATAAAGAGGCCTATAGCCAGTGTTGGGATTCAAATACCTTAACATCCGGTTCTCTGTGTGGATGCAGGCTGGGCCTCCAAGGCCTAGAACGGACTTCCGGAAGTGACATCAATGCATTTCCGGTGGGCCTCCGAAGCCTAGAATGGACTTCCAGAAGCAGCATGGGTTCAGCCAGTTCTCTGAACTCAACAAAATTTAGCTATCGGTTCTACTGAATTGGTGCGAACCGGCTGAATCCCACCACTGCCCATAGCTCAACATATTGAAGGTCCTGGGTTCAGATCTAGGCATCTCCCAAATATGGAGTAGAAAGATAACTGAGTTGACACCTGGAAGGTCACTGTACAGGAAATCCTTGACTTACGACCGTAATGGACTCAGAATTCCTGTTGTAAGCCACGATGGTTATAAATCAAGATCCCCAAGTCAACGGTCCCAATTCTAGAAAAAATTTTGGAGCAGTCGTTAAGTGTATACCATGGTCGTTAAGCCGATCGATGTAGTCCTATCGATGATTTTTTTTTTTTTGCTGAAAAACTTTTTCTTCTTTCAGATTGTTGAGTAGCCCTTTAATCAGCAGAGTTCTGACTTCCATCTGGCTTCCCCACTGACATTGCTTGTGGGAAACCAGCAGGAAGCATGACATGTCCCTTTCTGCTGTAAAAGGTCGAGACAGAAGCTGACAGCTCTTTTACTCCTTCTGTTTGCCATCCTGAAGGTGGTGTCACACCTAGAGACAGACCTGGGGGTTGAGGTGGAAAGTGTGGCTATCCGGAAAATGAAATACTCCTTACAGATCTGGTCAGCTATGATGTCTTTCAAGAGCAATAATAAGCAGGTATGTCAAATGCAAATCTTTTTTTCAAGGATTGGAAATCTACTGGAGACACCCTAAAAAACTTTTTTGGCAAGTAGCATATAGACTCCAATAAAGCTATTATTTCTACATAGCAGCTCACTCCTATTAGCTTGTAAACTGTTGTGTGTGATCACAGCAGCAGCTTCCACATAATCCTCTGAGTAGCTTTTGTAACCTTTCTGAGGCTTACTGGAATGTTTTGCAAAAGAATTTGGCCTGCAGTCCTCTTTAGGCCTTTGTTAGTTACAAATGAAGGCAAATATACATGTCCCAAGATAACATTGCAAGATCCAGTCTGGGTTGGCTCGACCTGCTCAGCCAACAATCTTAATAGCTGCCAAATTGAATGCATGTTCATCGCAGTGTGAAGTTGCATTTGGGTTTCCTCGTTTGACCTCTCACTTGTGTTCTTCCAATCCGGTGGTTAGCTTCTCATGGTCTGCCCTACATAGTAATTACAGTCCATGCAGGATTGTGTAGATTGCCCCTGTGACTGTGTAGGAGGCAGCTAACCATCAGATTGCAAGATCACAAGATTGTTGGCCGCGTAGGTACAAAAATAGCCAGGGAAATGATCAAAGAGTGAGAAAGGGACCGCTTATCAGTCAATCGGAATGCTGATTTATCACCAGCTTATCAGGTAATTAAGAGCCAAGGGCTTGGCAGCAACAATAAACAACCACTTATTTGCCAGCCATCAACTCCCCAATCAATCAATAAGGAGCCACACCCAACTAGGCACCACATAAATACCACACCTAGAAGAGTCCAAACTACATATTCCAGTACAGAGAAGTTTTCTGAGAGGGGCACCAGCACGAGTCCAAAAGCTGAGAAGACAATCATCTAAATATGAGCCAGCCGTGTGCTGCAGCTGCCAAAAAAGCCAACACAGTGCTGGGCTGCATTAACAGAGGGATAGAATCAAGATCACGTGAAGTATTAATACCACTTTACAAGGCCTTGGTAAGGCCACACTTGGAATACTGCATCCGGTTTTGGTCACCAGGATGTAAAAAAGATGTTGAGACTCTAGAAAGAGTACAGAGAAGAACAACAAAGAGGATCAGGGGACTGGAGGCCAAAGCATATAAGGAACGGTTGCTGGAATTGGGTATGTCTGGTTTAACGAAGAGAAGGACGAGGGGGGACATGAGAGCAGTGTTCCAGTATCTCAGGGGCTGCCACAAAGAAAAGGGAGTCAAGCTATTTTCCAAGGCGCCTGAAGGCAAGACAAGAAGCAATGGATGGAAAATAACCAAAGAGAGAAGCAACCTCGAACTAAGGAGAAATTTCCTGACAGTTAGAACAATTAACCAGTGGAACAACCTGCCTCCAGAAGCGGTGAATGCTCCAACACTGGAAGTTTTTAAGAAGAGACCGGACAGCCATTTGTCCGAAATGGTATAGGGTTTCCTGCCTGAGCAGGGGTTGGACTAGATGACCTCCAAGGTCCCTTCCAACTTTACTACTACTACTACTATTACTACTACTACTACTACTACTACTACTATTATTATTATTATTATTATTATTATTATTATTATAAGACTAAACTTCTGATCCTGATGCCCAACCCAGATTGGATCCTGCAACATGTTAGTTAACATGTCCTCTGAAAACTCAGATACAGCTGCAACGTTCGATAAAAGTTGCTACTAAGAATGAGGAGATGGGCCAAAAGAAGGAAACATCCTGGAGTTCTCTCTCTCTGTTTCTTTGTCCATGTTGTCTTTTAGGAAAATCAAACCTTCATTGATCTGCTTGGAGACCACGGAAAACCAGTCTGGCCATCATGGGAACTGGTAAAATGGATGGTGAGACGGTCTTCTCACACTCTTCCAGCCATTGGTGAGAACTCAAGGCCTGGGACAGTTCTTTATAGTTGACTTTGCTGCTTCTGTTTTTTAAATCTAAGGATTTGCCCTAGGCAGGAGGTTGGTTGGACCAAAAGACTTCCAAGATCCCTTCTAAGCCTAGAATTCTATGATTCTACGTCATGTGACTCTACTCAGTTGTCTAGTGGAAGGCTCTCCAGCCTGGACAACTTTTAAGACTTGTGAACTTCAACTCCCAGAAGTCCTCAGCCAACGTGGGGGATTGAAGTCCACAAGTCTTAAAGTTGCTGTGGTTGGAGATTCCTGGTCTAGTTGAATTCCTAGGGGGAACTGCACACCCCCAAAATCAAGACAGCCACATATCTAGCACCCACAGCGATCGCATAGCACAGTCTATTTAAAAATGTGGAACAAACCGTTTTTGTCGTGAATTGATCTGTCTCAACATGTTTTTTCCCCCCAGCGCTAGGACTAGTAGAGAAGTTGACGAAATACAACTCCAGGGCAAATGCTAAGCTAGCAAGCATGGCACAGAGCTTGCAAGCAGAGATGGTGGAATTATTAGGAGAGAATGGTGTCTTCTTGTACCCTTCACACCCTGTACTAGCTCCCAAGCATCATGCGCCTCTTGGCTCGCCTTTCAATTTTGCCTACACTGGTAAGAAGCTCCCGTTGTTTGAATTGCTGTGATCCATGTAACACAGTTTGTGGATGCTGCATTGATAGATTAGAAGGGGACAATTCCCTCCTCTGAAGACATTGAAATCTAACCTGTTACCATTGGGAAATTGGGTGGAAATGGTTGACAGACGCAAGGAACATTGCTTGAAGAGGCATTTTGATGTAGTTATACCTGAATGTGTGTTGCTTTCTCATTTCAGTGTTTTGAACAATTTGTAAACTGCCCAGGGTTGCTAGGAGTTGGGCAGCATATATAATTATCATTTTGATGGTTAATCTCACCATCGTCCAGATGTTTAGCTTGGATTTGGCATTTTTACCCACCTATCAAGTCCTTCCCAAGGGCTTGGGATAGGCAGATGTGGAAGTGTTAAAGGCCTTGTTGCATTATTATTATTATTTATATCAGGGCAGAATTCAACCTCTTGCAACATTGCCCTCTTAGAAGCGATGTAGATTTCCTCTGATCTCTAGCAGTTGTGGGGGTCTTTCATGCTGGATGCTGGTTCATGCAGCATTCTTTGCATTCTTGCTTTAGATAAGTCCAGCGATAAAGGTTGGAATCTTCCAACTAACTGTATCACAACATCATGTCCAAACAATGATAATATGCTTTCCTCCCCTTTAAGGCCCACTCTGATCTCATAATCCTGGACAATCCCTTTGGAAGCTGCCATTGTTCTGAATGATTTCTCTCCAGTTGCTTTATTCTGGTTTTACAGAAAAATGCTCCAAATCGTTGACCTCTGTTGTTTTTTCCCTTTCAGCCATCTTCAACATTCTGGGCTTACCAGTGACACAGTGTCCTCTTGGCTTGAGCAAGGATGGACTCCCTTTAGGCATCCAGGTGGTGGCAGGACCCCATAATGACCACTTGACCTTGGCCGTAGCACAATATTTGGAGAAGGCGTTTGGTGGCTGGGTTCCTCCTGGCCAGTCCTAACACGAGTTTCCTGGGACCTGGAGACAAAAGAAGAAGAACAGTACCCCATCTGTGAAATCTAGGGCTAGGTGTCTGGGCCTGAGGTTTCCTTCCCTAGACAACCCAAGGGAATAGACATGGGGTCATGAGCTTGTTCACCAGGCTAGATCATTCCTCCCACGCCAGCAAAGCCAAAGGGGTGAAGGAGTCAACTGGCTCTTCTCTTTGACTTCCTTGCTAGATTTGGGGGAAGAAGCTGTCTCAGGGAAAGCAAGGCTGAGAGCAAATGACGGGATTGCGAGATGCCCTTTTTGCTCTTTGTTCTGTCTAGTTTTAGACAATAGTAGTGGTAGAATAGGACTGGTGCCTTCTGATGCTCTTAACTATTTTTTTTTCTGCTTAGAAATAATTTTAGACCAAGAGAGATCTTTTTTTTTTAATTTTTATTTTTAACCAACAAGACAAAACAGAATAAAACAAAACATAACACACATACACCCACAATATATACTCCTCCTTTTTTTTTTACAGCAATTACGTAATGGTAATCTAATATTTACATTTCCCCCTTATTCTTCTTTAGAATATTTGTCCTTATAGCCCCATTATTTCTTATTTACATTTTTCTTCCTTCATGTTCTACTAGACCAGTGGTTCTCAACCTTTTTAATGCCGCGACCCCCAACCGGTCGTAAGTCGAGGACTACTCAACTGGTGCAGCACCGTTTGCAGAATGGGACTTTTGGCGGGCTCAGCCAATAGAATTAGACTCTATTCAAGAGAGTCTATTCTATTGGCTTTCAAACGCCAATAGAATAAAAGGGAGTAGCACAGCTAAGGAAAAGAGGGAAAAAAATGGCGGACTGCGTTGTTTGGTGACCCCCGTGAAATGGTCGTTCGACCCCAAATGGGGTCCCGACCCACAGGTTGAGAACCACTGTACTAGACCAAGAGAGATCTTTATGGAATTGCATTCCTCCGATAGAAAGAACATGAGAAATCAAGATTCCCAAGTCCCTCTCAATTAGCACAGAGAAAGAGCCCTGGGACCTTGACTTTACTTCACCTTTTCATGGACTTCTACTCAGGTGAGGGTTGATGTTGACAATATTGATGGGAGAAGCACAAGCCAGATACCAAGCCCAGTGAAAGATACATATTGATAGGCTCAAGAAAACTTCTGGTAGAGTCTGATGCGTCTCAGTGCTTCTGCCTAGCAATCAGATGAAGGTTTTTAGAATCAGGAGCTCAAGTCATGCTTTATGTTGGCAAAAGGACTTTATCGTGTTGATGGTTGATCCTTACTGCATTGCACGCACCACTTTCTGGATTGGGGGGGCCTGCAATGGAAAGCTGTATCCCCTCACTTGCTTCTCATGGGCCCCGAAGAACGAAATATGTATTGCTGTCCTGACAAATCAATATAATGTAAAGTATTATCTGGCACTGGAGATCTCTAGTCTTGTTGATTTTTACTCATTCCGAACCATTGTCATCTTTGAACACCATCTATTGCTGTTATGCCTGTCGTGAATCAAGTGGCTGAAATGTGCTCATGGCTGAATATGTTGGCGCCTGTTCTCAACACTAGGCCTGTGTCAGTCAGTGTGTCAAAATGCGTTTCCAAGATCTTGTCAACCAGAGGAAGTGCTGTCCGAAGAGACCTTTGAGCACTTTAAACCGGAAGTCAACCTTGACTGGGGATTTGAGAGGGCTCTCACGAAATGACATCCTGGGTGGGCATAGCCAGCTGTAGACCGCCTGCGTTCCAGAAGTCAAGCTGCTGATGTTGGGTCACTTTGTCAGTAACTCCAACTCTTAACTCTGACAAGTCTGAAGACCACTTGTTAAGTTCTAGTTAAGGTGATTTATTGCTCATGCCTATACAAAGAATCTAGTCAATTAGCGGTCGGCACTAAATTGAGCATTGTCAATCTTCTCCTTTTAAAATATGAATATACTTTAATGAAGCTGAATATCCAACCCTATGCAACATTGCTCAGCCCTTGGAGTTCTGCTGCACACACCTTCCACGTTTAAGGTAATCTGGAGAAGTTCCTTCCTTCATTAATGCCGCAGATAATTACAGATTGTAGTATTACATCTCATAGTCACTTCACACAAAATGTTGAACACAACCAGTGCAGCTGTCCAGAGAGGCAAAAAGGAGCGTATGCAAAGTTCTCTTCATTTGATTTATCGATTGGTTTAACAAGGCTTATGGCCTGTATTAATCCTGGTACAGTTGGGGTGGAGAACAAGAAGCACAGGCAGACATTCAGTTAGCAGCAAAAAGCAATAACGAACAGTAGCTGAAATGTCTGTAACAGTCACTCTTTCTAGAGCCCGCAGTGTGCAAAGGGAAGGGCCTGGAGGGACAGGAGGAAAAACTACCAAAACAACAGATTAAAAAAAAAACCTAGTGCAGAATTGTACACTCGGACAAGACAATCTGCGAGGGAGTCAGTGTATTTAGACTTGCAAGTTTCTGTTACTGTACTTTTATCATAATATGGGTCTGCCTGCCTGATTTTCTAGTCGGGTCTAGGGTGAAGCTTGCCAAAAGTGTGTTGGACAGGCCAAAGCTGACTTTACTTGCTTGCAAAATGCAAGAAGGTTGGGGGCCAAACACGTGTGCAAAAGGTCCAAGATGGTGGTAAGTATGTGAAGGTCAGTCCATTCTCCTCGGACACTGCAAAGCTGAAGATAGCATCCTGCCATTTTTACACTTGTTCCATGGGCTTTCTACCCTATCCGAATAATGACTTACAGATCAGTAGAAGGCACTTTCTGAGAAATAAACAAAGCACTGGAGCAGCCACACCTCTGTCCTTTAGTTTCAAGTTTAATAGATGCTCTTTGAGGGAGGAGAGTGGCAGAGCAAATTCTGCTGTTTGCTTTCTTTTTCCCTTTGTTGTTGTTAGTTGTGAAGTCATGTCTGACCCATCGCGACCTCATGGACAACGTTCCTCCAGGCCTTCCTGTCCTCTACCATCTTCTGGAGTCCATTTAAGCTCACGCCTCCTGCTTCAGTGACTCCATCCAGCCACCTCACTCTCTGTCATCCCCTTCTTCTATTGCCCTCGATCTTTCCCAGCATTAGGCTCTTCTCCAGTGAGTCTTTCCTTGTCATTAGGTGGCCAAAGTACTTGAGTTTCAACTTCAGGATCTGGCCTTCTAAAGAGCAGTCAGGGTTGATCTCCTCTAGGACTGATGGGTTTTGATCATTTCCTTGCTGTGACAATTCACGCGATGCAGAATTCTAGTGCCACTTCTGGATACTGGCAGATAGTTGCTCTTCAACTCTCAGTGTTTTCACAGTAGTCCTTGACTTAAAACCATTTCATTTAGTGACCAAAGTCACAATGAAAGAAGTGATTTAAGACCCATTTTCATGTGACCATTGCAGCGTCCTCAGGGTTACATGATCAAAATTCAAATGCTTAGCAACTGGCAGGTATTTAGTTGCAGTGTCCCAGGCTCATGGGATCACCTTTTGCAATCTCCTGACAGATTCAATTAACAACCTTGTTATTAACTTAACAACTGCAGTGATTCACTTAGCAACTGTGGTTAAAGAAATAGAGCAAAGTTCTCTTAACTGTCTTGCTTAGCAATAGAAATGTCGGGCTCCATTGTTGTGGTAAGTCAAGGACTACCTGTAACTTCTAGACCTAAAGAAGTTAATCCTGCTCGGCTCCTGAGCCCAGACAAGTTTGGTCAGCTCCTGCCATTGTTACGACACTCTACCCTTCAGGCACCTACAGTTCAAGAAGCATGCAATAATTTAAATGCAGACAGCACAATCCCTTGCAATGGGTATTTATGCAGCCCAGTTGATCAGATGACCAGCAGCTTCAATGTCCTCTTTTGAACAGGACTTCAGCCAAGCTTCCTTGAAGCGGAAAAGCTTTTAAACGGGACGGTTGAATGTATAGTAGGGTTAATGGTCATTCAGTCAGAGCTTTTGAGGCTGGTGGGCATAGACTGTAGAGGTTGCCTGGGCTGCAGCTTTCCTTCTGTCTCCCAAGATCAGTCCTACGTACAGTCAGATAACAGGCAAATGAGTCCACAGAAAGAACAGGGACTTGGTAAACTTCTTAGAAGGGATGGTCCTTAGTTTCTTGGACTGTAAAACCAAGTGGGGTAAAGATGCACCTCTACAGTCTATGAAACTAGGAAGGATGTATTCTGACACATTCACCTTGCCTCTATTCCTTCTGTGAACTTAGCTGTTGCTTGTCTGACCATTGCTTGGTCTATGATCTTTCACCTGTCCCCCAAGGTCATTTGCACATATCTTTACAAATGCAGCACTGACTTGTCCTTGCTGATAAACTTAAGACAACTATGGAAATTATTCCCCTTGCAGAGTCAATCCAGTCTACCTCTTCCTGTGTTGAGAGGATGCTGAAAAAGTGTCATATGTTCAGAAAGCTTTGCGCAATAGAGGACGCTGATGTTTTTTTTCCTATAATTATGGGTGTTGAGCATTTCCTCCCCCCTTACAGATTTGTTGTGCTTGTGTCTTCAAAGCTGCATTAGGACTGTTTTTGATAAAGTGAAATCTAAACAAATGTATCAAGTGTTTTATGGATGTTTGCTGGTTGAGGAGGAACATGGAAAATCATACTTCCACATCCCAGCTCTTGAACAGCTGTCTTTGATGCCCCATTTTGCCCTGAACTAGCCATAGCAGTAAGACTTGATTAAATACTTTTAATCTGAAGATGCCTGACATCCATTTTCAAGGAACAAATTGAAGACAGGGCAGAGATGGATGTGATTATGGGCAAGGGAACTCAAGCAACAATAAAGTACTCCAGGTCAAGATGGATGGGCATTTGAGATCATCTGTCATTCTCCACTTCTCACAGATGAGCCACAGATGCACGTCTAGAGGGAAAATAGTCTTTCAACACTGAGGATGACAAATGAGTTTCAGAAGAACTGCCGTAACTTTTTTGAACAAATTCCCATAAGCCTTTGTCTAGTTTCCTGCAATCAGAAAAACTACAGAAAAGTGGAGGAGGAGGAGGAGGAGGAGGAGGAAGAAGAAGAAGAAGAAGAAGAAGAAGAAGAAGAAGAAGAAGAAGAAGAAGAAGAAGAAGAAGAAGAAGAAGAAGAAGAAGAAGAAGAAGAAGAAGAAAGCTACCACAGCTGAACATTGAGGTAGATGTTTATGGTTCAACTACCAAATGAAACTGAGTTGGATTCCTATATGAAGAAATAGAGAGTCCCCACCCCATTAAAGCATTAGATCCAAGATCTAATGATCAAATCCCACGGGATGCAGGGAAACAAGAGATGGCAGATGCTACTTTTGGTTCATCCAGCCACACTATGGACCTTCCAATATTGTTTGTTCGTTGTGTAATAACACATTTTGGAATACATCTAAATATATACTTTTTTTTGTAAAAATTTTTATTTTCAATTTTACAATACATAACAATCTTACAAATACTTCAGATAAAAAATAAAACAAATTGATA